ACTCTAGAATCTAATAAACAGAGATAAGATGGGCAGTAGTTTAAAAAGCTGAGAAGACAAGCCATGTAATGCACAAAATGGGCTAAGGGTGGTCCCACGTCTGGAGGATCTGCAATAACAACTCTCAGTTGCCTAGATATTGGACCTGCTAAACAGTCGACCAAGTAAGATAAGATGGGTTATCTTGATCAGTTTGTGCATGAGGCGTAATAAGGACCCTCGGGGAACCCAAACAAATATTTAGGCAGGGAGGGGTGACAGAAACCTGTGGCTGCGGAAAGAAGTGGAAGCCCTCGATCTCTTCAGTTTTGGCCCCACCTATGCTGCACGGTTGGCTGGCCGAATCAGACTACGTTGACAATATTGCGCTGTCTTCATCAAGCGATGAAGACTCAGACAAACAGATCACTTAACCATTGTAAGAAATGGTTTAACGACAGGCGGTGGGTAAAGACGACTACCAAAGGTATCAGAAATATGAATGTTGATGGACGGTGAGTAGTCAAGGTATGGACTGAAGGACGCTGCTCTGCGTCTAATAATCCGATGACCGAACTGAGCTAATAAAGCTGACGATGGACAACGTGACTAAACAATTTCAATGTTGTGAATAAGGCTGTCTTATAAATTGGAAAATATTTTACATTAAAATTCACAAAAGTATTATTTTTTGTGCTCATCTGAGATCGTCGGACAGTATACTTGCAGAAAAGCTGGCTTTTGGCTTAAAAATTGTAATCATTATATTGTTCAAGAACGTAAAATGTCCACTCACACAGAAACGTATATGTCCGTTATTTAATATTATTTACGAAATATACAACAAGGTCTACATCTTTTGTACAATTTAAGGATTTCTATATGGCGTTTTCTCAATACCATAGAGAAATTTATGAGTTTCTTTATGAGGAGGGTATAGAACTTGTAAGTTGGAAAACTGAAATACAAGTGCAGCTGCTAATTTGAATTCAAAATAATTAGAGAAGTGAAAAAGTTTATTAAGGCCGAAAAATATGCCATATCCGAAAAGGCAATTTCAAATGAGTAAACAGAGGCTATGTTTGTGTGCGATTTCTATAAAATGTTTTTATGTACAAGAGTGAAAAACAAGGGAAAGAAGAACGTCTACCACTTAGGTAGTCATTTTCAACCAGCCGGAAAAAAATGGCATCGCAAAGGCGGCACCCGGTTATGAATAAAATTTTCTAGTATTATGTTGCAAGATGATCAATATTACAACTCTACTTGCGTAGCCCCTTTTAATCGAAAGCCTAATTTCGGTTAAAATTTCATTAAATACTACACTAGTTGTGTATTCGTGATCCCAAAGTTGAGCTCGTGAATGTTCTTCGACATTTTGTGACAAATCAATACATTTGCTTACGCCTCTAAATTCCTAACTTGTATTCGCAGAACTGCGGCTTCAATTTTCTTGAAGGGTGAGTCGGTTAGCTGTGTTTGAAAGATTTACAATCTAATAGACAGTATTAGGTTTTTACGCGAGTTTCATCGGCGATTCGACGGCGCACGTAGTCTCATGCGTACAGTAATAATAAATATATTACAGGCACGTTGTTAGTAGCCGTCTGAAGTGCTCGCTCAGGATTTTCTCCAGAATTTGGTCCACTGGAACCTAGCAGTATGACTTATTTAACGGCGGTCTACAGTCAATCTGCCGTGCCGTACTCGGGCTTTAAGGTACGTTGTATAACTGTGGGTGTGTCAGGCACCAATACTTTGTACCTGGAAGCGCTACTGCTGCTAGCATATACGCGCTGGTTAAGTAGTAGGAAAGCTAACTTGCCCACAATTTTTTCGCACATAAGGCATCACTTTCAGGTTATAATCGCGATGTCAAGATTGGGCAGCAGTCAGGTGTAAGTTGAGTACCGCAACAACGAAAGAAAAATATTTGAGGACACATGGGATGACGATATACACCCTTGTCAAACGCTTGATCGAGTTTGGAACAGTTTCTAGAGGTCGTTGAAAACAATAAAATGCACATTGATAAAACAATATTAAGCTCTTATAACAGTAACCATTCCGATTAAAACGCCACTACGCTACCAACTGTCGCGAAAACGCACGATGAGTGAAAACAGAGTGCAGGTGAGTCGATAAAGCAGACCTCTGTCGGCTGTTGATAACCCGCGAAATATGAGTAAGACAGTTGGCCGTAGCAAGGATTTCCGTAGCAATGCAGAAGATACCAGCATTTCTCCAAACTCGTCGCATTACCCAGTTTGAAGAGTATAGAGTGGGGTTGAGCCCAACTACTTAGATATTAGCCTTTGTCTTTATGCTAGTTCAAACACTTTACAGATTCAAGCCCCAGGTGTTAACAGAAACTTTAGTGACTACAGACAGGCTCCAACTATATTTGTAAACAGATAAAGGGAGGGGGATCAAGCATCCCAGGCCTCCAGTCGAACGCACTTTGAACTTAGCTTGCAACGTTCGTTTTTATATAATATTAATAAGAGCTGTAGTGGCTACCAGTGTTGTAGAGACAACGAAAAGGAAAAATACATTTTTTTACCAGAAAGACTGAGAAATTCATATGAAAGCTGGAATTTGATCGTTTTGCAAAAGCAGGGAGCGAAAGTCCGCTCTTAGGCAAACGAAATTCGCAGCCTCATCTGCAGTTATCGATGGAAAATAGTACAATAAAAAGAAAACCACCGAATTGTGACATCCGAACTACGTTCATGCTTTCTGAGAAAGAAATGTGAGAAAAATAAACATGAAAGTTAGGGCGGTAGAAAAACACGAGTGCGTTTCCATAAAAATGCTAACTTACATTCTAAGTCAACATTGTTTTCGACACGAAGAGGAGCCTCTTTATAATACACTTTGTTCAGCATTGCTTCGAACGCAGCCAGAGACTCTTTGAGAGCAGTCAAACTTTCTGCCGTCGGTCTTTTCCGTTTGCGGGCTTTTGGGTGAGCACCTTCGACGTAACTCACGCAATGATTAACTGGCTGGTAGAACCGCCTAAGCTTCGATTCTTCAGCAGGAAAATGCTCCAAAAATAAGGAAAGTAGTTCAGTAGGCGAAATCCGAGAGAGGGGGACGGCTTCCTTCAGCCGATCAAGGACTTCTGAAAGTTGCTTTTGTTTTCCCATGGGTTCCTTTTAATGATTTCATGAATGATCAAAATACATACTTTAACAGTGGGACATGGAGATTTCTGGGATAAGAAATCGCTTATAAGTTGTTCACAGCCAGCAAGATTTTCTTCAGGTTCCCATGTATTAAAGGTCGGAGGCCAACCCTCCCACTTAACGAGATAAAAATGTTTGCCCTATAGGGAATAAAATAAATTGAAAACACCAACCATAATGCTCGATTTCTTGACGATAGCTTCAACGACATACTCAGAGTCACAAGAAAAAGTGAGAACTTGAGTCTGGCAAACTAAAAAAATATGAAAGAAGCGGGACTAACGCGTGTTAAGAACTTTGTAGACAACACGTAAAGGAAAGCGTGCAAGTAAACTCTCCAGGAGCCCGAAAGCAGCCTCGTCAGACAGTTTGATATCCTTTGAAACCTGTACATCTGACATAAGTGTCCTAACGTTAGGCTGCACTATTTGTGCCTGAGAAAAAACGAATCTTCGATTCTTATCCATCAGGATTTTGTGTCTAAACCGTATGTGAAATAGAAACTGCGACGATAGGCGTTTCGCAAATAAACTATTCAAACGGCTTAGAGCAACCCGAGTACCAAAATTACACTCAATGAATAGCCGTTGGACTATTCGATTATTTACTCAAGGAATATTCAGGCGTTAGATAGTTTCGTAAGGGCAATGTAGTAAGTAAGCTCCAAATATCCTTGAATTATTTATAATTCCTCCCAGTGGGTTACACATATACAGTAGTCGCTGGTTACTGAGCCCACGGTTAATAAGCCCAGCCGCGTATTAAGCCTAAATCAGCTTGGAACGGAATTTTACATAGCAAATCCGCCGGCTAATAAGCCCAGTCGCCGGCTAC